CTGTAGAGAAACTGCCACCTCGTGTAGTTGGAGGGGATCTTAACCAGCTGATCACAGCAAATTTCTGCATTGACCACTGAAGTTGGTGGAAAGTCGAGGAACACTGGTCCCGTGCAGCAAAGCCCTCACGAGCGGCCATGCTGGCTCTGGGGACCTCTTCTTTCATCATTACAACATGGGTTGGCTTTGTGTCGTTCACTGTGTCTTCTTCCAAGATATCCTGATTGCATCCCTCAAGAGGCTGCTCCACCTTGCCTTAGCTTCCTCCGGTGTCTTCTGCTTGGCCATAGCTTCCTCCAGTGTCTTCTGCTTGGTCTTCAGCTTCCACCCCATGAGTGCACACACATGCAGCGGCACCCAAGAGGAGACATGAGGATGAGAAACAGTGGGGAGTGCTGTACTACCGCAGCCTACATCCCCTTATAAGTGGATATATCCCATGCTGGGAGTCTGGCTGGGACAGGACCCTGCTTCCCACATCTCCTCAGCTTGAGGACACTAACCACAGTAGGATAAATTGCCCTTTCTAGAAGACAGGTAGAGCTTGGAGGTTTGAGCATGCCTTTTCTGCTGTCACTGCTGAGCCACAGTCTCCTGCTAAGCTGCTGCCATCACCCCCATTGTGTTTGATTGCCTTCATGGTGGTGTTCTGCCTGTGTTGCCTGCCCTTCTCTGATCTGGAGGGTTTGGAAGGGATGGAGAGCAAAGAGTTGCTAAGCTGAAGCATTTTGGGGTAGCCTTGGAGAAGAGAGATGGCTGTGTGCTCGGCTCCTGCGCTGAGCTGGCTCCTCAGGTCCCTTTGGAAAAATGCTCCCAGGAAAATGGAGTAAATAAGGGAGGGGATTGTGGTGTAGAAGACCAGGAGGAGCCTGGTACCCACCTTTGTGGATTTCTTAGGTGTCTTCACAGCCCCAGACCATCCCCAGGGTGCAGTCCATTTTGAAGGCATGTGCCAGCACCATGTCTGGCAAAGGCTGTTTCTCCTGCCCCATGCCCCCCCGCCCTGGCTGCATGGCTGCCCCTGTGCGTGGGGACACCAGGCACAAATACCGTGGTGTGGGGACACAGACATGTGTGGGGTGCTGGCTGCCTACCTTGTGTGAGTGTGGGGCTGGCTGCTCTGCAGGCACTCCTCGGGGATGCCCAGGTCGCTGGGAAACGTCTTGGAGCATCTGAAAGCTTTGGCGACTCGATGCAGTTTCCATCCCGCATCCTTGAATCACAAGGCAGGCAAGGAGCTGGGGAGCTATTTTCAGCTTTGTCTCCTTGTCTGATTCTCCGAGGCCAGTCTCACCACCGAGCCAGCCCAGGACTTGGACGATGTCCTCTGCAGACGGTGGCTGTGATACCTCGCTCAGGAGGAAAGAGGAACGAGCGTGTGAGCTGGGAGCCATTTCCCAGCTGCTGGAACGGGTCTCCGTGACCCTGGTGGCATCCGTGACCGGACCACAGGCTGGTGGCTCGGCGGTCCCCAGCTGCTCCCACTGCTGGTGTCGGTGACCCTGCCACGGCCACGAGCCATGGGGCAGCCATGCTCCTTGGTTCCCCTCCACGGTCACTCAGGGAGCGTTTCACAGCGGTGACAAGGCACGTGGCTTGGCTTTGCTTTTAAAATATATCCATATATATATATATATTTGCATGTGTGCGTATTTATATATAAAAATGCATTTTGAGGCAGCGGGGGACCTCAGCGAGGGCTGAGCACCCTCTAGCGGCATTTGCCACAGCTCCGGGCGCTGCCGAGCCAACAGGAAAGCGGCCAAGGACAGAAAGTCTTGCATGAATTTTCCTCCCCCCGGCTGCCAGTCGCTATCTTTCTTTTTGTTCTTCCTTTTTTTTTCCCCTCTTTCTTTAATCAGGAGCAGCAAATGGCGGGTCCTAGGGATGCCAGGGCACAGGCCAGAGCTCGCCCGCAGCCCCTTGGCTCCGGCTTGCTGCCGGACCGCTGACGATCATTATGCTTAATTTATTTTATTTTAATTTGGTGGGAAAGCCGGCAGCCTGGGGAGAGCAGGGGCCTTTCACGATCAGCTGCCCAGGCACTGTGGGTTGGATGCTGCCTGTACCGGCTCACCCCAAGCCCCCCGGCCGGTGGAGCGGGGACTGCATCCCATCATGGGGGGTATTTTGGAGGGTCGGAGCTGCCAAGGAGCTGAGCACCCCGGGCACCCTGGCAGGAGGTGCGTTGAAGCTGGGGACGGCACTGGGAAGATAAAAAAGGAGCTTTTAAATAATCATTTTGTCTTCTTCTCGGCTGAGCACAACCTTCCAGGGATAAATAGGTAGCATCACTTCTGCTTAGACACATTGGCCTTTCCATTTATTTACTCCCTAGCCTTCCTCTGAGCAGGCAGCCAAGCCCAGGCCATCTCCGCACGGTCCCCAGCTGCGTTCGGGTCTCTGCTGCGGGGACACGTGTACATCCATCCGTAGGATGCTCAGGATGCACACACCCAGTGGGTGCTGGTCCGTGAGTGTTGCATGGTAATAAAGTTCAGGGGTTATACAGCGCTTTTCATTGAGAAGCAGCTTTCTAAACATCAACTCATTACTCACTTGTGCCCACCTGTCAGGTCAATGATTCCTGAGATTTTTAATCTAAAAATATTTCCCTTTTGAAATCCAGATGCACCTGTTTTGGCAACTCCGCTTTTGATTTGTTTATTTGGGGGGGATTTTTTTTTTTTTTTTTTTTTTTAAACTTTGTTTTTTTTCTT